CGAGCAGAGCATAAGACACTTTACCGAGATTAGCGGCGCCAGAGTGCGAATAATTGTATTTGTGAGTGTAAAGAGCGATTGTCAAATATTCGTCCAAATCCGACACCCACATAAATTTTCTGGTCGCGTTGCCTAGGAAAATTTACGTGCGTCTCGAAGGGGTCAGTACTCCCCCTTGGAGAAACCACGCATCAACTGCATTGATCCGTTTGTGTGGGACGGAATCTTGGATCCCGGATAGCCAGGGTTAAAACACGATAGAGTAACCCACTGAAGCCTGATATACTTCCAAATAATTGTTTATTCTGAGAATCACACAGAATCCATAAGCACACTCTCTGGACAAAATTCAGGGCCTGTTTAATGGTATACAAAGTGGTACCTACAGTTACCAATGTATTTTAATGGGTCAATGATGTACTACAACTGAGATTTATGGACTAACGGATCACCACATTAAACACGGCCGCTCGATAGAATACTGAAGTGGTCTAGCCATCCGCTTGCTTGATCCAGTCAGGTGTGAAGAACCCCCTCACAGACACGCCCTGCTGTTATCGAGGCCCGGAAACGACTGTCCAAATCATACAATCATTCCATTATTATCAGAAACTCTATAAATGAAGACCCAACGTGTACAGATGAATCAGCACCACTGAAAGACGTGTTATCATCGGACGACCGGACGACAATGAAATCACTGAGGTACTAAACACATACAGAAACTTGTCCCCTCTATCACGACGCTGTTTGCAAAAAAAAAAAAAAAACTACTCCCGTAACAATCCATGAAGGCCCGTAGGGATGCGAGACGTCGAAGCTCCCACATTTTCTGGACAATCGGCTCACAGATGGCGGTGAAGTTGTCAGCCTCACGGGCCTGCCGCCCTTTACCTCCACGAAGATGGCTGGTAGTCATAGCTAGACTATATAGAGTTGAATGAAAGGACCTAACAGATTAATGATGAACTGGTGACGATTTTGGAACGGAATGCTGGTGGTCTGAGTTTCCCTGTATATTCTGAGAAAACCATGAAAAACTTCAATCACGATACTTGTTGCCCGAACGAGTATGAGTTTACAGTTTTGCCGCTACGCTTTGTATCAGGAAGGCTTCTACCAGTTTGGCGTCATGTCGTTTCCATGGTAACCAAATGGATCTCTTGAGTTATGCAGGGATCTGAGATTCCAACAGCCATGGCTATGAGGAGTACCATCTTCCGGAATAGAACGCCGTATAGTCCCTTGAAAGTCAAGCGATGTTACGACAAAACGTATCGGCTCTATCTCCAGGGTGAAGAATAAGCCGAGCATGAAACCAGCGTTGAAATGTTCGTGGCAAGCAGAGCTCGTTTCAGAGCTTCCACGTTGATTTCTTCAAGAGACGTTTCGGATGAGCATATCAACTAAATTTTCGGGGTCGAAGAATAATTGCTGTCGACTATGACTGACAAATGACAGACCCGACCTCTCGTCAGAGAGGGCGCCCCACATGGACAGGACTGTAACTTTCACTTAAAAAGTAATATCTGGTCATGAGCCCCAGCAGGGGCTCGACACCAAAAGACAGACTGATTGACCAAAGTCAAAGTCATGTTGCGACCAACGGTCGGTCAGTCTGTCTGTCTGGGTGTGGAGCCCCGGCTGGGGCTCATGACCAGATATTACTTTTTAAGTGAAAGTTACAGTCCTGTCCATGTGGGGCGCCCTCTCTGACGAGAGGTCGGGTCTGTCATTTGTCAGTCATAGTCGGCAGTATTAGTCCATTGTCGCTATGTACACTGACTGACCGTCAGTCGCAACATGACTTTGATGAGATCCAAGGAGAGGGGGTAGAGAAAGAAACTCGATCCGAACCAATGGGAAGAAACAGAAAAAAGAACGCCCCTTATAAGGGCACAGTGGTTTGTCGTCACAGTTCGGAAACGGTAGAGTGGTGAGAAACGGATCTTTCCTGGAGTACAATGTCGTTTTAAAGATAAAAGTAAAACTGTGTGGCATTCAGACCAAATCATCCACAAAATTACACTCTGTCATAAGCCAGAAAACCACAATTGCGGCAACAACAACTTTGATAACCTCAAGACAACTATTTTAATATTATCTCATCTAGGCACGTGTCATCTACTGATCTTTAACACTGAGACTTTCCAACCTAGACCAGATTATATGTTATATGGTTCCCGCAAGAGAGCTCTGTCCATCAATGATTTCTTTCGTCTAACTAACGAAACAATTCCAAATAAAGAGTTCCAAATGGGAAGCTTTTCCTTACTTAACTTCCTTGATATTCCTCTGTTAGTTCGCGTATCCAACCCCTCAAGTACCGGGACGGATGTTTATCTTAATGCACACTGCGTAACGGCGGAAGTAAGACACAATGGTAGGCCCTACACCCCAGCATTCACATGGAGTAAAAGGTAAAAATATCCCTGTTTATTTCGGCGCCAAGCCATGAAGACGTATGGGGGAACTGAGGTAGGAACACATTCATATCTTCACATATTACGCCCATTTAGCCTTAGAATCAAACGAATGTGATATCAGGCCACCAAAAGGTCCCCATCATTACAGGATTATACGAAAAGATGCCTACTCTCACAAGCGACCTCCATTGCCACTTTGGCCGTCGATCGTCTGCGAGCCGACCATGGGGACCGGCAGGTAGGGAGGCGGGAAAACTAGGCATTTACCACTTCCCCTGGATTTTTAAAAATATGAAGTTCTTGGAAGAACTGATAGCCTACTTTTCTTCGGTGAGACAAGGACCGCATACAAAACGACGCCTCCAAGAATTATTTTGTTCTGTCACCACGTAAACTTTTTCTGTGCCGTTGCCTAGCAATGATGGGGAATACACATACAGAGAGACTGATGGGAGGAATTTATAAAGTTGAGATTGGCTCAAGTGGAATCATATTGTAGCGTGTAGATTCGTTATTATATAACGACCGCGAGATAGGCAAATATATCAGTACCCGTTTTACGCAACGGCTCGGTAATCACGTTCCCGATGCAACGAATATGCGCGCAACAATAGAGGTAATGTTGGAAACTGCGCTCTCTATTCGGTTCGTGCCGAGGGGTTATAAGAAAGACAATTTTGGCAACCAAGTCAGTTCCGTATGGAAGTCTGAAGCAAGAATAGTTTAGCTGGAAGGGGGCCGCTGTTCAGAAAGGACCTGAGGCCGGAAGCATAAAATAGCCCCTGTTAGGAGCCGTTACTAGGAAACGTCTAGTAACAGACTAAGGACACTAGGCTGTAGGCTCTAGTGACGTGTTAAGTATCTAAATCGGCGACAGTGTTACAGTTATTTGTAGTAACGACCTGTAAGTGATCAATAAATCCAATTATCCAAAACCCCGTCTATAGTCATAAACATGCTACGTGACAATATGCATGCCTAGTTTCATAAAAAAAAATTGTCCAACCATTCGAAAGTTAATAGGGGGGATATACAGTTGCACAAACATAGCCAGTATGGAGATAGCACAAGTGTGCTTTCATACTTAAAAAGAAAAGAAAGTAGGCTACAAAAACCAAATTTTTCAAAAAGAATGACTGATCAAATATTAATAGCAGAGACTAACACTTTTTTTTTAAAAAACTGTGTTTATATTCTCAATATTCTACGGCAGGGATGGGTAAAATATGGCACGCAAAGATATTGTGAAAAACTGCCTATAATACGTGGTATTGTTTTTAAGTCACATCAACCCTTCTTGAGTTTTTTCTTTCTTTTTAGGAACTGCAAGCGACGCTGTCTGTCACACCCGTCCCGTGAGTAATGGCATTCATTGCGCACAGTATAAGATTTGAGGGCGGTAGCGTAGTTGGTTGAGGCATGATATTACAGAAGGTCGTGGTTTCAATTCCCGATGAGGTCATCGGATTTTTCAATTCAACTAACCCTTCTATCCGCATTATGGTCCTGGGGTCGACTCAGCCTCTAACAGAAATGAGTACCAGGAATTTTCGTGGGGGTAAAGGGCGAGCCGCTCGTAAGGCTGACAACCTCACCGCCATCTGTGAGCCGACTGTCTAGAAAATGCGGTGATGTCTTTCTGGAAGTAAAACACTTAACCACCCTAAGCCAGCCTTTCGGTTATAATGTTCGTCCACCCCTCCTATGAAGCAATCAGTAAGAAGTTCTAAACGGCTCGAAAGTTTGTTTGGTTGCCCCCCCCTCACCCCGGAAAATAGGTAGGCTGCTCCCATGGATGTTTCGCCACGTAGTCAGTGTCACTAACAACGGCGTCACATTCCAGGCGACAGTAACCCTAAACGTCGCCTTGCACGACGGCACGACCCAGTTACATTACTAATATGGTTCGTCGCCCGCTTCCCACCGCGGCGGCCCGGGTTCGATCCCAGCTCAGGTCATTTGGTACTTGTCATGGACAAAGTAGCACTGGGACAGGTTTCCGAGTACTTCGGTTTCCTCTGCCAATTCTCATGTCACCAAATGCTCCATACTCATCTATCATCAGGGGCTGGTAAAATTGGCCAATTAATGGCCGACGTACCAATTGGACTCTGTCTCATCCCACCCCAAGATACGGATACATACAAAACTTCGGTTTCTTCATTGACAAATCCTCCTTTACAAACTAAACATGGTTACAAAACATTACTTTGTACACAATCCCCGCCCTTCCCAAAGACTTAAAACCCACTATCCTCGGCCTCTAAAATGGATCATGTTGTTTCCTTCAGTAGTCACGAATTATGCGAATTGAATTGTTGCAATTAAAAATAATATAAATTCTCGGTTTCCAATAATGTGAAGCCCAAAAAGTTCAGTAATAATCAATTCCTAAGAGAATACTTGTCTTTGAATTGTCCGAGGTCTTCAAGAACGCAGCCTCGCATAAAATGAGACCGCACTATATAGCATTACGAACTGAAATGGGGTTGACGCATTTTAACCTATGCAGTTGAGTAAGCATCTAAACCCTGAAACGTTTATCTAAACAATACTTTTAAAGCATATTCCTACCTTACAGAAACACACTGCGTCTCTATTACAAACATCAAACCGCTTATTGCTGTTTACGAAAATAATCACTGTTTATTCTGACGAAACATGCAGGAGTTTCCGTATGTCTGTGGGCACATACAACGTCCACGAAACATTTGTGTGCATAATATATTAAGAAACAAAAAATGGAACGCGCTAGAAGTACGTTACGTCATTAAGTTCCTGGTGTTTTTGGTAAACACTGTCGACCTACAGAAACTGGCACTGTGTCACAAGAGTTTCAATAGCACTGGGACATAACTTCCCGCTAAAAGCTGTATGATACACCATTTCTGGAGACAACTTCTGCAATATGCACTCGTATGTAAATAGACAGTTTATAAATTAGAATCTCCACATCCAGATCAACGTGTATCTGCACACAAACTGTACATCACATTCGAAAACACAATGTTTCTTCACATTACACTGCGTATGCAATGTGTAGGCGACAGAAGCACATAACCTACAACGAACTGCACTCACAGAGTCTCAACAGGCAACTGCACGCAGAACGCCGCCTCGATGTCTCTGAATCGGATTTGGACCTGCTGCTAGCCTTACCTACAGCATCTTAAAACCAATGGAGGACGCCCCTTCCTCTCTCTCGCTCTCCTTCTCTCCCTCTCTCCACAGTACTACACAACAAAAAGCATCGCTCGCACCAAAGTGAAGGTCACCGGGCTCTGGAAGCTTTCATTCATCCGTGCAAACGCTGTGCCAAAAAGCAGGGATGACAAAAACATCAAAACAATCAGGTTTTGTAGCGCTAACGCTGTACATCTGTAATCGTAAGGTGCTGATTTCGTATGACGGTCGTGACACCAGATAGCCTGACTGAGGGGTTATCGAGTCCCTCAAGGTTATTCCGAGACAATGCTTAGCACTTCCTTCCAATGATGAATCCGTGCCATTGCCAAGAAGTGTTACCAGATAACAATGAAATATCTCATTGAGATTTGAGGCTTTCACGGCGGTGACTATGAAGAAAGCAGTCTTCTGGGATTTGGCACCGTGTATATGTGGTATTAACCGACGTTTCGGAGGAACGTATCGCCTCCATCTTCAGGGTAGAAGAAAAAATATAAGAATTCTGCAAGCGGGGAGACCGTGAGAACCGGTAAAAGCAGTAAAACCGGTATTTCCACAGTATGCAACATTTACTAGTTAACATATTTTAAATGCAAATATGTACTGCAAATGACAATAGAAGAGCACTTTAATTACCTTCATTTTATATCCTTTTGGATTAATTAGTTCAAGAGCAATGAGATGGACTGAAAGACATTTTATGGCGCCTGAAAGATACGGCGTGGCGCACGAAATGATCAAGTAATTCACCTATTAATAAAATCTTTATTTAAATTATAATACTAGAAACTAACATACGAAAATAAGGACCACTGCATGGAGATCTATCCTCTGTGAATCAAGTCTTCAGTATGGCCACCAATACGTCTGGAAACTTCAACTCGAACTGTGATGCTGTTGATGACTCGATGGCACATGTCCTCAGTTATCTCATTGCAGGCCTGCATGATTAGAGCTCTCATTTTCATTATTGTTCGCGGCTTTTGCGGGAAAAATCCTTTCCTTAAGGAATCCCCAAAGAAAGTAGTCACGTGGGTTTAAATCAGGACTATTCAGGAGCCAGTTCTGTCCACATGCTAAACGAAATCGGTCTGAGATAACAGAATCGAAAGTGTCATGAAGTACGTCCAAAACAACATTTGCTGTGTGCGGCCTGGCTCCATCCTGCATGAACTACTCAGTCTGTAACAGCAAGATGGTCGGGAAACAAAAGTATTGCGCAACGTGCTTAAATAGCGCTCACTGTTCACTGTCTCTTCAAAGAAAATTGGCCCTTGCAGTCCAAGATTTTAGATGGCGACACACACTGTAATTATCGGTGGATTCTATGACGCCAAAAAACGCCTGCACATTTTGTTTATTAACCACAGCGTCCAAGTGGAAGTGAGCCTCATCAAAAGACCAAACATTGTTGAACGGTACGTCATTATTCTGAGCCAATTCAGCTAATACCATTCTTTCGTGTATGTTTTGAACTGTAAGTTTAGGCATCACTGTCATTTTGTATGGATACATATTCCAATCACTTTTCAATATTTGTTGCACTGACCGTCTGGATATCCCCTAGATCTGCTGCAGCCATCCTTGTTGATTTACTGGGGCTTCTTTCCAGCGCCACTCTGACAGCGTCAATGTTCTCCGAAGAACGCACAGATGAAGACCGGCGACGGATCCCCTCCAACACTGAACCATCATTATTAAACTGATTAAAGAGCCGCAAACAATAATCGAATTGAGAGCATAAATCATTCAGGCCTACAACGAGATAACTGAGGACATTATGCCGCCGAGTAATCAACGTCACAGTTCGTGTTGAAGAAGATGCCAGACGTATTGGTGGTCATATTGAAGACTTGATTCACAGAGGATAGATCTCCATGCAGTGGTCCTTATTTTGGTATGTTAGTTTCTAGTATTGTAACTGAAATAAAGATTTTATTAACAGATCAAATACTGGATCATTTCGTGCGCCAATCTATAGATCTTTTTTTCTGTTTTTTGTTTGTTTGTTTTTTTTTGTTTTTCAAAAGAAATTTCAGTTCGCGTTCGGACTTTAAGCCAAGCCGAGACGTGCACGTGAGCTTGATGCGAGCGAAATTTCGTTAATGCGAACCTTAGTAAGAAGAGGACTATCTATATTCAGAAAGAGCGCAACGTTTCGAAAACCGGATTTGTTTCCGTCCTCAGGCGGAAAGTCGGAGAGCCACTTACTTATGTCCGTTCGAAACAGCTACTATCAATCACTAAAAGGTTGTTTAATTATATAAAACCTGTTCTCTACGTCACCACTGTCTCGCAAATCCACTAATAACTAGGAACTCATTTATGCAACTTGTACAGCGAAAGTCTATTGGCTGCATGACCACATCTCTGTCAGAGTACATACGAGATTCATATTCTTAAAAATGGCAGTACAGTACACCCTCGCTAATTTGGATTAATGGGAAGAGGTCATCCAGATTAGTGAAGCAAAAGGCAACCCTAAAGACAAAAAAGAAATACGATACAAATAAATGGAAAATTTAATAATATACGGATAGCACCGATGAACATAAATAAAACAATATCACTTGAATCCTACAAAGATTACGTGACATGACACACTGAATGTTATGGTTACAGTTTTCCAGTTACAATTATGGAGTCATCCATGGGAAACTGCCGAAGTTAACTGGATAACGCATACATAATTACGTAAAGAAGTTGAACCTGTGCTTAATTAGTTAAGCATTATGCCATGAAGACATATGGGAAGGGGCGGATGTATAAGTTCCCCATTCTTGACATTGGCAGTAGATGAAGGAAAGTGGTCGGCTTCACGCCCCTGCCGCTTTTCCCCCAGCGAAAAAGCTTTCGGTACCCACTGAATAGGACGTTGGGTGGGCCCCAAAGTCGGTCCGAACGACATGGAGAAGGGAAAAATCTCGTCCTGTCTGCAATCGAACAGCCTGTAGCCCCTGTCGTAGAACAAAATAAGGTTATGTCACGACATTTGGAAAGTTTGCCATCGTTACAGGAACTGGCGATCAAGATGCGTTCACAACATCAGCCAGCTACTCCCAAAACCTCGATAGCTCTCAGATGTGGCGCAAAATATACGCGCCGTCATGTCTTTGTTTAATAAACGAAATGAACCATATGAAATTCTGTAGGCAGGTTTATGGTGTACCTCTGGTTTATCTTAACACACAATTTTACATGTTTGCTATCTGTGCTCTATTACTCATCGTTATCAAACGGATAATTAAATACATTTAGCGTGATAACACACTGTTACTTGTGCTTACATTGTACTCTGTGTGAAACAGCGGCGTCCCCCCCCCCCAAAGGGAGGAGGGGATATTCTGCGAGAGTTACACTGAAAAACTAAATTCATTATAATTCTCACAATTTCACACTGAAAAACTAAATTCATTATAATATTATTCATTATAATATTGTTGTTGCTATTGCAATCTCCTAACTTTCCCTTGGCCTTGGTCATGGCCCCGATTTTGTTGTGGTCAGGCAGACCTATTGTTATCACTGCTCTGATTTTGCTGACAACTATAACTGTGTAATTTCTTTCATCAATTCCACTCGTTTGAGCAGATCTAATGCATCTCCTATAGTCTGGAGCTGCGTTCCCAACATCACTCGTACATTCATGGGAAAGTGACATCTGATTGGTTCAGCCACTTCAGCGTCTGTAGGCTTGGGTTCAAGATGCGAAGCCAAAGTCGCATTTTAAGGAAATTACCTGAATATGATAAATTCGATCTACGATCGTAGTTGGTCTCGTAAATGTTGCCCTTTACCAAATTTTGTTGTGTCCAAGACCACCAACTACTTAAACATGCATTTATAAAAGTTTCAGTCAGTAAGTTTGTCGGAAATGGCTTCAAGCCATTGCTGACTCAATTTTCCTATAATGGATCTATAAGTCACCGTCAGATGATACACCTGAGGTACACCGCGGAGTTTCAAAAACTCGTCCAGTCTTTTTAAATGAAAGACTGGACTTTCTTCTTAATTCTCGTCAAATAATGGTAAGGAAATATGAGAACTGTTTAACACACTAATGGCAACAGGTTGATGTGACAAAGTATTGATAGATATAGTTTTGAACGTGTTAAAAGTATTGCCTTGACAGGTACGTGAAGCTACAAATCCTATATTATCACTAGGATTATTACTAGCAAGGCTGTACAGTCACAGTTTCCTTGCGAATTCTTATTCTCAAATTTATTAATCTCCAGATTAGTTACCTCGGATTGTTTCTCGAAATTTTTATGTGTTTATAGCCGAGACTAGATCAGCTCATCTCTCTCCCCTAATCGTCTTAAACCTATGTCAGGGGTCTCTTTCACTGTATCTTTGATCTGACGCATTTCTATATTCAAACTGCCTAACTCATTTACATCATTTTCTATGATTAGTTCATGAATTTCTAGTTCCTCGTCGATTTTCTTCTCATAAGTTTTATGGTTAAGTTTGTCTATTTCTGGCTTAACCTCATCTTTTATCTAGTCCTGTACGTGGCTAATTTTAGTCTCTAAATTCGGTTTTTGTTCTCCGTTGGACATCTCAGATTTAGCCTGTAATTCTTTAAAGCGAAGTTCTATTTTCTCAAAATTTTAGCATAGCTGGAATTTATATTCTTCGGGAGTTTAGCATTTTCTTGTCGGATTTTCGCAATAAAATTAACCAGCAAGTCTTTAAGTTCCTCATGTTCATTTTGCTTATGTTTCGACGCAGTAGCGAGCTGAATTGCCGGAGAATCACTTGTTTTGTCTATTTTTGTACACTCCACTTACGATTATTTTCCTTGGCACTACAGCCCCAGTGGTCCTAGGCCTACCTCCATGAACTCCGCTCACTTCGCTTTTTCTAGATCTCACACATACGGTAAGACTCCTTGGGCGAGTGATCAGCTCGTCGCAAGGCCTCTACCTGTAGACAAACACAGAAGAACGCACACAAACATCCATGCCCTGAGTGGGATTCGAACCCACTTCCGAGCGAGCGAAGACAGTGCATGCCTTAGACCGCTCGGCTACCGTGACCGGCACTTACGATAATTACCATCCAGATAATTGTATACACAATTCTGGCGAAATCTGTTACCAGGAG